CTTATCAATGTGAGACTCCTTCCAACAGTACCATGTCCACACAACACGTCCTTATCAATGTCATACTCCTTCCAACAGTACCATGCACACACAACACGTCCTTATCAATGGCAGACTCCTTCCAACAGTACCATGCACACACAACACGTCCTTATCAATGGCAGACTCCTACCAACAGTACCATGCACTCACAACACGTCCTTATCAATGTCAGACTCCTTCCAACAGTACCATGCACACACAACACGTCCTTATCAATGTAAGACTCCTTCCAACAGTACCATGTCCACACAACACGTCCTTATCAATGTCATACTCCTTCCAACAGTACCATGCACACACAACACGCCCTTATCAATGGCAGACTCCTTCCAACAGTACCATGCACACACAACACGTCCTTATCAATGTCAGACTCCTTCCAACAGTACCATGCACACACAACACGTCCTTATCAATGTCATACTCCTTCCAACAGTACCATGCACACACAACACGTCCTTATCAATGGCAGACTCCTTCCAACAGTACCATGCACACACAACACGTCCTTATCAATGGCAGACTCCTACCAACAGTACCATGCACACACAACACGTCCTTATCAATGTCATACTCCTTCCAACAGTACCATGCACACACAACACGTCCTTATCAATGTCAGACTCCTTCCAACAGTACCATGCACACACAACACGTCCTTATCAATGTCAGACTCCTTCCAACAGTACAATGCACACACAACACGCCCTTATCAATGTCAGACTCCTTCCAACACTACCATGTACACACAACACGCCCTTATCAATGGCAGACTCCAACCAACAGAACCATGCACACACAGCACGTCCTTATCAATGTCAGACTCCTTCCAACATTACCATGCACTCACAACACGCCCTTATCAATGGCAGACTCCTTCCAACAGCACCATGCACACAGAACTCGTCCTTATCAATGTCAGACTCCTTCCAACAGTACCATGCACACACAACACGTCCTTATCAATGTAAGACTCCTTCCAACAGTACCATGTCCACACAACACGTCCTTATCAATGTCATACTCCTTCCAACAGTACCATGCACACACAACACGTCCTTATCAATGGCAGACTCCTTCCAACAGTACCATGCACACACAACACGTCCTTATCAATGGCAGACTCCTACCAACAGTACCATGCACTCACAACACGTCCTTATCAATGTCAGACTCCTTCCAACAGTACCATGCACACACAACACGTCCTTATCAATGTAAGACTCCTTCCAACAGTACCATGTCCACACAACACGTCATTATCAATGTCATACTCCTTCCAACAGTACCATGCACACACAACACGCCCTTATCAATGGCAGACTCCTTCCAACAGTACCATGCACACACAACACGTCCTTATCAATGGCAGACTCCTTCCAACAGTACCATGCACACACAACACGTCCTTATCAATGTCATACTCCTTCCAACAGTACCATGCACACACAACACGTCCTTATCAATGGCAGACTCCTTCCAACAGTACCATGCACACACAACACGTCCTTATCAATGGCAGACTCCTACCAACAGTACCATGCACTCACAACACGTCCTTATCAATGTCAGACTCCTTCCAACAGTACCATGCACACACAACACGTCCTTATCAATGTAAGACTCCTTCCAACAGTACCATGTCCACACAACACGTCCTTATCAATGTCATACTCCTTCCAACAGTACCATGCACACACAACACGTCCTTATCAATGGCAGACTCCTTCCAACAGTACCATGCACACACAGCACGTCCTTATCAATGTCAGACTCCTTCCAACAGTACCATGCACACACAACACGTCCTTATCAATGGCAGACTCCTTCCAACAGTACCATGCACACACAACACGTCCTTATCAATGTAAGACTCCTTCCAATAGTACCATACACACACAACACGTCCTTATCAATGGCAGACTCCTTCCAACAGTACCATGCACACACAACACGTCCTTATCAATGTCATACTCCTTCCAACAGTACCATGCACTCACAACAGGTCCTTATCAATGGCAGACTCCTTCCAACAGTACCATGCACACACAACACGTCCTTATCAATGTCAGACTCCTTCCAACAGTACCATGCACACACAACACGTCCTTATCAATGGCAGACTCCTTCCAACAGTACCATGCACACACAACACGTCCTTGAATATCCGGGTTAGAATAGACCTTCAGCAACCCATGCTTGCTGTAAAAAGGGGCCGATCGATGCTCACGATGTCGATCACTGGATTGTCTGGTCCAGACTCGATTATTTGCAGACCACCGTCATATAATGGAATATTGCTGGGTGCGGTGTAAAACAACAAATAAACAAACAAACAAACAAATCAGATACTTATCCAGATCCCAGCTTTCGGGAACATCATTTTCGCAATGAGACGTCCACTAGTTTGTTGAAAACCTGCGAGATTTAAATTTAACTGTAGAAGGTCAGTAAGAGTGTCTACAGCTTACGGGATGAGCTGTGTTTGTGTTGATTTAGTTGATTTAGTCAGGGTGGGCTCAAGAGACCTTGCTCTTTGAGAAGATTGTAGACTTGAATGTCACTCGAGTTTCAGCAAACATGCACAAAGTTTAGGATTTGTCGTTTTGGGAATGCACATCAACACATTTATAACCTATAATATTTGTTCATAACATGTGATGTATGTGAGAAGCACATGTTAGTCTCTGGTAAAAAAAATACCGAGAAATGTATTTCTATTTTATGGTCACCAAGATTTTTAAACATTTATATTCCAAGGCATTTTACTTTGGGCTATCAGGTAAAGAATTAGAAACCATGCAGTAATTAAGTCCAAGCATTTCTGAATTGATTCAGTGACAAACTTGAAATTACCAGTGTCCAACAATATCCACCAGCAGCAAACTGTGCTGCATCTATATTTAATAGTATATCGGTGCAAAACTCATTACTAATATTGAAAAGCACTTACCTAACAACACTACCTTGTGGGTGCCATTTCAATCAAATGCATACCAGAAAGATCCTGCCCTATGTGAACGTTTTAGAAAGAAAAGAGCAAATTTATCTCAACATGTTACCTTTTGTCCCAAAATTCTGTAGTTTGAAGAGAAGACCTTTTCTGTAGATCATATCATATGCTTTTTCAATATCGAGGAGGACACACAACATGTAGTCTTGATTGTTTTCAACTTGTTTGTGCTTCTGTCTGGAGTTGTACATGAAGATCCTTTACTAAAACCCGATTGTACTCTTAAGAGAGACGTATTCTTCTCAAGAAAATACTTCAATCAATTTGTGACTATTCTTCCCAAAATGTTTCATAAACTGGATGTTCATAAGATAAATATATCATCCTTAAGTTCAGCGTATGAGACTGGGGTGTTTATGTCAGAGCTTTAGACCAACATGGCAGCAGAAATGTCAGGACAAACTGCGATTTCATAAGATCCCTTGAGTTCTCTGAAAACCTCCAGGAATACATCTGAGCTACTAGATGTTTTAAATTGTTTAACTAGTAGATCAGCCTTCTGAAATGTGGTCACTGTACTACCTCCTTTGCCTAACATCCGGATAAGAGTATATGTTTTGATTGCCTAGTCACGTTCATCGTTCCACCAGTCCATGCAGGAAGCAAAGGCACTGGTCCACATGGTGCCCAGTATGGTTATCTCCCTTTAGTTACTGATCTCTAGCCCATTGTTTATATTGTGTTGTTAACTCATTCATTCTGCTTTTAAATGTTCTTCAACTAGTTTTCAATCGAATCTGTGATATTCTATTTATTTTACTGCCCCTCGATGTCAAGTATTATTCAGTCTAATTATATGTATTATTAATGTAGAACTTCTCGTTACGATATGGCTGAAATATTGCCGATGTGACGTTAAATATTAACGCGATCACTCACTCACTCATCGTTCCACGACACTATGTAAATGAAAGTGGATTGCTCGCTTGATGTCTAGTAGCTCGGTATATTTGAATATTGTTTATATGTAGTAATGTTATCATTTGAAACACCAACATCTTCGTTTATGAGGGGACAAGGGTGGCCCTGTTGTCTAAGGCGCCGCAATTCGCTGTGCAGAGTTGCGTACCTTGGGCACGCCAGCAACCTATGATTATGGGCTCGAATCCCGGTTCGCCCGGATTTTGTTTCTAGGTTTTTTAGCACCATACCCGTGCTCGTGGGTTTGACCGAAGTGGTAAACGTCTGAGACATGCATCACTTCGGGCTTTCCTACCGCTTGAAGCTGTTAAAATGCGTTAAACCCAACTCACTCACTCGTATATTGGTTTTAAAGTAATATGCATGTGCTCACGAAGAGGAGAAAGGTCAGAGCAGTTTGCATTTTTAAATTTTCATCGAGGAACATGTTCATGTGAATGTTATGATATAGGAGCTGGCTAGCTGCAGTACACTGTCAGTTCAATATCCCTTCAGGTGGATGAATCACGAGTTTGTAGCTTGATAGACTCGGTGTAAGTTATGGAAGCTGTTGCAGTCTCTCTCGGGGTATAGATGGTTTTAGGCGTCCCGCGTTAGGTTTTATACCATGAACCGGAGACCCCAAACGAGGGCCACACAAAACACGCATATGCATCCCCGATAGATACTGCCACAACAAATTTATCTAGCCGACATGCATATTTTACAGTCTACTAATGTAAAACATTTAAGACCATTGATAGAAACCAGCTGTTCGATTGAGCTGAGATTAATTGTTGCTGTGTCATGTCCTGTGCTACTTTCATTGACTCTTGAACACCGTGCAGCTTTTGCTTCGTGGTAGGTGCAAGAGATTTATGGTCCCGCTCAGAAATTGATACCCCTTCCTACACACATTATTATATCAAGATAACATGGACCAATCGGGTCTCAACATTCTGACATGGAGGTAAGACGGTCGAACGGTCTGATGAAAGCGTTGCTCTGAAGCTGCTCTGCAACAGAATCTGTAAAACAAGTCGTGCTTTGTCGATAGAGCCAATTTAATCGCTAATGGAAAAATAAAAATAAAACAAGATGTATAAAAATAAATTTGAAATATGCTTCACCATTGGAGTACATCCACATTATTTAACAAACAACAAATAGGAGTGTAGAGGCCATGTCGAGTTCAGGACTGTCAGAGACATATTCGTGCAGTGAGGCAGTACAGGGCTGCTCCGTTGCATCTTGTCAGAAGACTGGAATTATTTGGTCCTCGAAAATAGAACCACTTTCAAACTGACATTACCCTAGGGTTTGTTTTGAATACATAAACACGTCGTCAACAGGGTTCGATATTTGTGAATGTGAATTCTGACACCTTACTATATGTACGTATACGACACGACAACGCCTGATAGACATATGATCGTCTTTTTGGTGTACACTAAAGTTTTCTCTCCACGAACATCTCCATTAGTAAATGTCCTCTGAACACCGTCCACCAATACGTGCCTAGAACACCGTCCACCACCACGTGTCTAGATCCGAGCTCGGAGACACGCCCGTCTGTTGCAACCACTGGCGAAGCAGCACTTGGCACCTGTCGCGCAGTCGTTGTCGGTGTCACAACGCCGTAGGAAGAAGTCACAGAGGAACCACAGCATGGGGAATCTCCGGGGGCACCTGCCCGGCCTCCTCGTGGACACAGCAGGGGCACGAGTTGTGGGGACGCCACCAGAGTCTAGGGAACAGAAGAAAGTGGTCGGTCTTCAACTGAACATGCCATTCTTGATCACAATGGGACATATTCATAGTACATTTTATCCTAACTTGAAGTTTGAGAGAAAAAAGCAACAGTTCATGAAACGGATACCGATCATCAGATTACAGAGCGAAACCCACGCGACAATCAGGGTACGACGCCCACCTGAAACTACGCCATGGTAACATACTCAATATTGAACTTTACACGTGAAAAGCAATCTCCATTTTCCTTGCTTACTCTACGGTACAAGAGAACTTGGATCTCGATCTAATACCACGGACTAGTGGAAGGTGTACCTCGACTATTACGGTACAGGTGATGTAGTATGTCTACTTGGTATAACGGTACAGGGGATATAGTATGTCGACTTGTTTATTACAGTAAAGAGGATGTAGTATGTTGACTTGGTATAACGGTACAGGGGATATAGCATGTCGACTTGTTTATTACAGTACAGAGGATGTAGTATGTCTACTTGGTATAACGGTAAAGGGGATATAGTATGTCGACTTGTTTATTACAGTACAGAGGATGTAGTATGTCGACTTGGTATAACGGTAAAGGGGATATAGTATGTCGACTTGTTTATTACAGAACAGAGGATGTAGTATGTCGACTTGGTATAACGGTAAAGGGGATATAGTATGTCGACTTGTTTATTACAGTACAGAGGATGTAGTATGTCGACTTGGTATAACGGTACAGGGGATATAGTATGTCGACTTGTTTATTACAGTACAGAGGATGTAGTATGTCGACTTAGCATTACGGTACAGGGGATATAGTATGTCGACTTGTTTATTACAGTACGGGGGATGTGGTATGTCGACTTGATATTACGGTACAGGGGATATAGTATGTCGACTTGTTTATTACTGTACAGAGGATGTAGTATATCGACTTGTATTTTACTGTACAGGATATGTAGTATGTCAGCTTGGTATAACAGTACGGGGGATGTGGTACGTCGACTTGATATTACGGTATAGAGGATGTAGTATATTGACTTAGCATTACGGTACGGGGGATGTGGTATGTCAATTGGTATTACATTACAGAGGATGTAGTATGTCGACTTGTTTTTTTACGGTACAGAGGATGTGGTATGTTGACTTGGCATTACGGTACAGGGGATGTGGTATGTCGAGTTTGTGTTACGGTATAGACGATGTGGTATGTCAACTTGTTTTTTACGGTACAGAGGATGTGGTAAGTTGACTTGGTGTTACGGTATAGAAGATGTGGTATGTAAACTTGTTTTTTACGGTACAGGGGATGTGGTATGTTGACTTGGCAATACGGTACAGGGGATGTGGTATGCGGACTTGGTGTTACAATATAGAAGATGTAGTATGTCAATTTGTTTTTTACGGTACAGAGGATGTGGTATGTTGACTTGGTGTTATGGTACAGAGGATGTGGTATGTTGACTTGGTGTTATAGTATAGAAGATGTTGTATGTCAACTTGCTTTTTACAGTACAGAGGATGTAGTATGTTGACTTAGCATTACGGTACAGGGGATGTAGTATGTCGATTTGGTGTTATTGTACTGGGGATGTAGTATGTCGACTTGGCATTATGATAAAGGGGATGTGTTTTTATGGTACAGAGGATGTAGTATGTCAACTTGTTTGTTTACGGTACCGGGGATGTAGTATGTCGACTTTGGATTACGACACAGGGGATGTAGTATGTTGATTGGTATTATGGTACAGGGGATGTAGTTTGTCGACTTGAAATTACGGTATGGAAGATATAGTATGTCGACTTGATTTTACAAAACAGGGGATGTAGTATGTCAACTTGGTATTACGGTACAGGGGGAGTGGTATGTTGATTTGGTATTACGGTACAGGGGATGTAGCATTTTGACTTGCTATTACTGTACAGGGGGAGTGGTATGTTGATTTGGTATTACGGTACAGGGGATGTAGCATTTTGACTTGCTATTACTGTACAGGGGGAGTGGTATGTTGATTTGGTATTACGGCACAAGGGATGTAGTATGTCGACTAGGTAATATGGTATGGGGCATGTAGTATGTCGACCTGTTACTATGGTACAGGAGGAGTGGTACGTCGACATGGTAAAATGGTACAGAAGGAGTGGTACGTCGACTTGGTCATTTGGGGAAGTTTTCAATGTTTTACTACATTGAATGTGAGTTCTTTCTCATGATGCTGGTGTAGAGTGAATATTTCCTCCAGTTGAGATAGTGATGTAATAGTATCTGCACTTCACATAACGGGGGACCAGACAATCAAGTGGTTACTATTAGGAGCCAGAATCAATGCCGGGCCATCTGATTCAATAAGTTCCGGATTCCCGCGATACAAGGCATAATATGTAATTACACTGGCGTTTCTTTACATTTTTGTTTCGTGATGCAGATTTTAATTTGTAATTTCCTCTTAACAATCATTCTTCCTGAAATTCTCAATTGTGTTAAAAGCAACATCGTTGTCATCAAGTTGTCACTCACTGGTTTTCAAGCAACAGGCGCCATTAACACAGTTCGTCAAGTCTGGGCAGGCTAGGAAACTGCTGCATGTAATGTCCGCACCATTCATGTCTGTGACGGGGAAACTTCTGAAGCACGGGCTGGGGACGGTGACAGTACTCCGTGCTGGGGAGACAACATGGGCACGTCATAGAGACACAGTGGAGACATTCTAGAGACAACGTGGGCACGTCATAGAGACACAGTGGAGACATTCTAGAGACAAGATGGGCACGTCATAGAGACACAGTGGAGACATTCTAGAGACAAGATGGGCACGTCACAGAGACACAGTGGAGACATTCTAGAGACAAGATGGGCACGTCATAGAGACACAGTGGAGACATTCTAGAGACAACATGGGCACGTCATAGAGACACAGTGGAGACATTCTAGAGACAACATGGGCACGTCATAGAGACACAGTGGAGACATTCGAGAGACAACGTGGGCACGTCAAAGAGACACAGTGGAGACATTCTAGAGACAAGATGGGCACGTCATAGTGACACATTGGAGACATTCTAGAGACAAGATGGGCACGTCATAGAGACACAGTGGAGACATTCTAGAGACAACATGGGCACGTCATAGAGACACAGTGGAGACATTCTAGAGTCAAGATGGGCACGTCACAGAGACACAGTGGAGACATTCTTGACAAGATGGGCACGTCATAGAGACACAGTGGAGACATTCTAGAGACAAGATGGGCACGTCATAGAGACACAGTGGAGACATTCTAGAGACAAGATGGGCACGTCACAGAGACACAGTGGAGACATTCTTGACAAGATGGGCACGTCATAGAGACACAGTGGAGACATTCTAGAGACAAGATGGGCACGTCACAGAGACACAGTGGAGACATTCTAGAGACATAGTGGAGAATATATGACACACATCAACCAAATAACACAGCCTCGTTCTAGATGAAGAGAAGTACAGTAAACTACGGCTATAATGAATTCAAAGAGACCATTTAGTTTAATTCGTTTTGACCGTAGTTCGTCATAAGTATACATACAGCATATATACAGCCAAATAGGCGGGGTCCCAAGACAGTTCCTCATATCCGTCAGTTCGTTACAAGGGTGTTCTTTATAACGTAGTTTACTGTACATATCGTATACACGTCCAGAACACGAGGAATGTACGCGATATAGCACACGGTCTTTTACCAAATTGGCGTAGTTTTATAAGCCACGGTTATTATGTTGAACACATGTGTCAGTGTACACATTCATATCTCTACTATGCAGTGTAGTGTTCAGACAGAGAAGGGTTGGTTAAACCATCAGATGATGTCACGAAACAATATAACGCCATTAGGTTTTAAAACGTGTGATTTGTGTTGTTCAACTTACAGACACAAGTTGCTATGGGCGGACATGGCGCTCTGATGCAGTTGACCACCTGTAGCCTGCACACTTGGTTGAAGCCGCATTTCTGAAACATTGTGAACACTTCCCAGTCAGTCACCCGGCTACTGGTACATGAATATCATGAAGCGATTTATCTCGAATTATGATTAATTGATTTAACCTGATTGCACACTACCTCATCATTTATCTACCTACATGATTTCTACACGGGTCACGTGACACAGGGTTCTGGCACGTGTGCCCACATCCATTGCTGCAACACTTCTGACTTCCGGGACAACTTCCGTCGTTGCTGCAACTCTCCACACAGATGCCGAACGCGCCGTCAGTGCTGGGGCACGACCCTTCCTTTTCAACCGCTGCCAACAAGACAATGACACGTGGTTCATGTACGTCTAAGGTGGCAAAACATTTGTACCCAAAGTGGTTATCTACCATTATAGAGACACAGTGGATACTTTCTAGAGACATAGTGGAGACATCATAGAGACACCTTTGAGACATTATTGAGACGTAGTGGAGACATTACATAGACACAGTAGAGACATTCTAGAGACACAGTAGAGACATTCTAGAGACATGGTGGAGACATTATAGAGCCATAGTTGATATATTATTGAGGCACCTTTGAGACATTATAGAGACACAGTGGAGACATTCTAGAGTCACAGTAGAGACATTCTGGAGACACAGTAGTGACATTATAAAGACACAGTGGAGACATAATAGAGCCACAGTTGAGATATTATTGTGGCACCTTTGAGACATTATAGAGACACAGTGGAGACGTTCTAGAGTCACAGTAGAGACATTCTAGAGGCAAAGTGGAGACATTATAGAGACACAGTAAAGACATTATAGAGACACCTTAAAGACATTCTAGAGACACAGTGGAGACATTATAGAGACACAGTGGAGACATTATAGAGACACAGTGGAGACATTATAGAGACACAGTGGAGACAGTATAGACACACAGTAGAGACATTATAGAGGCATAGTGGAGACATTATAGAGACACAGTAAAGACATTATAGACACACAGTAGAGACATTATAGAGACACAGTAGAGACATTATAGAGACATAGTGGAGACATTATAGAGACACAGTGGAGACATTTTAGAGACATTATAGAGACACAGTAAAGACATTACACAGACACAGTAGAGACATTATAGAGACATGGTGGAGATATTATAGAGCCAAAGTGGAAACATTATAGAGACATAGTGGAGACATTATAGAGGCATAGTGGAGACATCATAGAGACACGGTGGAGACATTATAGAGGCATTGTTGAGACATTATAGAGACACAGTAAAGATATTTCAGAGACATAGTGGAGACATTATAGAGACACAGTAGAGACATAATAGAGGCATTGTGGAGACATTATAGAGCCATAGTGGAGACATTATAGAGCCACAGTGGAGACATTCTAGAGACAAGATGGGCACGTCATAGAGACATAGTGAAGAATACATGACACACATCAACCAAATAACACAGCCTCGTTCTAGATGAAGAGATGTACAGTAAACTACGGTTAAAACGAACCCAAAGGGACCATATATTTTAATTCGTTTTAACACTAGTTCGTTATATATATACAGCATATATACAAACAAATAGGCGGGGACAAAAACACTTTGTTATATACGTAAGTTCGTTATAAGGGTGTTCGTTATAAACGTAGTTTACTGTATATATCGTATACACGCCCAGAACACGAGAAACACACGCAATATAGAACACGGTCTTTTACCAGAAGCCACGGTTATTATGTTGAACACATGTGTAGTGTATACATTCATATCCCCACTATGCAGTGTAGTGTAAAAAACGGGGAAGCAATTGGTTAAACCATCAGATGATGTCACGAAACAATATAACGCCATTAGGTTTTAAAACGTGTGATTTGTGTTGTTCAACTTACGGACACAAGTTGCTATGGGCGGACATGGCGCTCTGATGCAGTTGACCACCTGTAGCCTACACACTTGGTTGAAGCCGCATTTCTGAAACATTGTGAACACTTCCCAGTCAATCACCCAGATACCGGCTACTGGTATCATATCAGCGAAATTATGAATAATTGATTTAACCTGATTGTACTTGAACATTAATCTCTCAGTGCAGGTAGCAAAGATACTGTAAGTCCCCATGGTCCCCGGTATGAGGATCTCCCTTCAGTGGCTGGCGATTTAAAGCCCGTTCTTATCATGTTATTGTTATGTATATTGCCATCCTTTTAATGATTCCATACTTGTTTTATATCCTTTTCTGTGATTAGTCTAGTTATTTTACTGTCCGTCGTTGGAAGGTTCATATATGTCTCATTTTGTTTATTCTGTTTAACCCTTGATAGTCACGATATGGCTGAACTATTGAAATGTGTGACTTAAAACTTTAACTCACTCACTCAACATTTATCTACCTACATGATTTCTACACGGGTCACGTGACACAGGGCTCTGGCACGTGTGCCCACATCCATTGCTGCAACACTTCTGACTTCCGGGACAACTTCCGTCGTTGCTGCAACTCTCCACACAGATGCCGAACGCGCCGTCAGTGCTGGGGCACGACCCTTCCTTTTCAACCGCTGCCAACAAGACAATGACACGTGGTTCATGTACGTCTAAGGTGGCTATACATTTATACCCAAAGTGGTTATCTTTCCGGTTATATAGCAAATGATAACAATTAAAACACAAAGAGGGCCGGACTGAGGGGTTCATGCTTTTATCATGTTACACTCACTCACTCACTCACTCCACACAATAGTAGACCGCGTTACGTGTCATGCATGCATCTATTTCATATTGTATGACTATTCCGTAATACTGTTTGACAACGATTGTCGTAAGTGGTAATTAACGGAATCGGGTGCTTAGGCTCTCTGACTTGGATGATGCATGTCATCGTATCCCACTGACGTGGATCGATGTTCATTATATCAATCGCTAGATTGCCTGGTCCAGATTCGATCATCCTCAGACCGTCGTCACAGAGCTTGAGTATTAACTATATAGGAAATGGAGCTGTGTACCTACCAACACACGAGGCTATGGGGCTCTTACAGGGTGCGCGAAAACACCGCACCTGTTGCACCTCGCACTTGAGGCCACTTTCGCACCTCTGAAACGGGCAACATAGCACAGTTTGTAAACAATGATGACAGCATAATGATGCTAAAAAACCGACTTTAATCCTCTACTGTCTGGATGTTGAATTATATTATAATTCATATTCCAAACTACTGAGTATGAACCGGTGGATCAAAAGGGCATGGTCAGATATCGTTAATGTCCAACACTATATTAACTAAGATGTTTCCTATGATCCCACGTATCGACCGAAAGTATGACACACGCATAAAAAACCCCAATATATACACATAACAATAAAATAAAAGAAACAAAAACGCCCAGAAAACACAACATTAACAAAAAACAAAACACGCTTACAACAGTTGCACAGGGGTCTGCGGGCGGAGTCGGCGTGGTGGCAACAACGATAGCACTTGGGATCGTGCAGACGCTGCCACAGCCGTTACTGCAACATTTCCTATTGTCATCACAGTCGAAGTCCGTCTCACATTCCGTGATGCAGATTCCAACACCAGCGGGAGGGCACGTGCCCGGCTTGCCTGTCCCAGTATACGTCGTGTCCTCTGCAACGCAAGGTGAATACATGCACTCGTCAACATCACTCGTCAACATCACTCTGTCGTCTTCACAGTTTCCACCATGATGCTTACAGAAATAACACCGACATTGTATTGGTAAATATGGATAATTATTAGATTATTTACAAAGAATGTGCTCCAGACGCGTTCAATATCAAAACAGATCTACTTGTGGAAGAGAAACGTTTGAAGCCCCCAACTTCCAAACTGGGCTGGCTGATCTTGGCGTGTTCCAGGTACTGTGCAGGTCGCCATGTGTCACGTGAATTGGGCGTCCTCAGCAGAGTAAATAAAAAAACCTTTCAGACAAGAAGTGGCATTTATTGATATGTGAAGAACAATACGTACCAATACAAACTCCCTGTATCGGACAGTTAAACTGTGGCCCCGCACATGGGGTGGCCCTCTCAACGCAGTGGAAGCCCGACCTGCAGTCGATCGTCTACAACAACGAAGGCGAGAACTCAACCTGTGTCCCTTAACGGAAATATAAAAAACAACAATATGTTCCATAATCATCAGACATCTAGATGACTATACTCTATGCATGTGTTTCCAAACAGTGATGACGTATACCTGTGTTTCTGAATCCCCACCAAACAGTGATGACGTATACCTGTGTTTCTGAATCCCCACCAAACAGTGATGACAGCGGGTGGTTGTGTCACGTATACCTGTGTTTCTGAATCCCAACCAAACAGTGATGACACCAGGTGTTCGCGTCACGTATACCTGTGTTTCTGGATCCCCACCAAACAGTGATGACACCAGGTGTTCGCGTCACGTATACCTGTGTTTCTGAATCCCCACCAAACAGTGATGACACCAGGTGTTTGCGTCACGTATACATCTGTTTCTCAATCCCCACCAAACAGTGATGACAGCGGGTGGTTGCGTCACGTATACCTGTGTTTCTGAATCCCCACCAAACAGTGATGACACCAGGTGTTCGCGTCACGTATACCTGTGTTTCTGAATCCCAACCAAACAGTGATGACGTATAGCTGTGTTTCTGAATCCCCACCAAACAGTGATGACGTATAGCTGTGTTTCTGAATCCCCACCAAACAGTGATGAAACCAGGTGTTCGCGTCACGTATACCTGTGTTTCTGAATCCCCACCAAACAGTGATGACACCAGGTGTTCGCGTCACGTATACCTGTGTTTCTGAATCCCCACCAAACAGTGATGACACCAGGTGTCAAATATACGTGTGTTTCTGAATCCCCACCAAACAGTGATGACACCAGGTGTTCGCGTCACGTATAGCTGTGTTTCTGAATCCCCACCAAACAGTGATGACACCAGGTGTTCGCGTCACGTATACCCGTGTTTCTGAATCCCCACCAAACAATGATGACACCAGATGTTTGCGTCACGTATACCTCTGTTTCTGAATCCCCGCCAAACAGTGATGACAGCAGGTGTCACATGTACATGTGTTTCTGAATCGCTATGAAGCAGTGAAAAGACCAGGTGTTCGCGTCAAATATACGTGTGTTTGTGAATCCCCACGAAACAGTGAATAGACCAGGTGTTTGTGTCAAGTATACATGTGTTTCTGAATCCCCACCAAACAGTGATGACAGCGGGTGTTCGCGTCAAGTATACCTATGTTTCTGAATCCCCACCAAACAGTGATGACAGCGGTTGGTTGCGTCACGTATACAACTGTTTCTGAATCCCCACCAAACAGTGATGACACCAGGTGTTCGCGTCACGTATACATCTGTTTCTGAATCCCCACCAAACAGTGATGACACCAGGTGTTCGCGTCACGTATACATCTGTTTCTGAATCCCGACCAAACAGTGATGACACCAGGTGTTCGCGTCACGTATACCTGTGTTTCTGAATCCCCACCAAACAGTGATGACAACAGGTGGTCGCGTCACGTATACATCTGTTTCTGAATCCCCACCAAACAGTGATGACACCAGGTGTTCGCGTCACGTATACATCTGTTTCTGAATCCCCACCAAACAGTGATGACACCAGGTGTTCGCGTCACGTATACATCTGTTTCTGAATCCCCACCAAACAGTGATGACAGCGGGTGGTTGCGTCACGTATACATCTGTTTCTGAATCCCCACCAAACAGTGATGACACCAGGTGTTCGCGTCACGTATACATCTGTTTCTGAATCCCCACCAAACAGTGATGACACCAGGTGTTCGCGACACATATACATCTATTTCTGAATCCCCACCAAACAGTAATGACACCAGGTGGTCGCGTCACGTATACATCTGTTTCTGAATCCCCACCAAACAGTGATGACACCAGGTGGTCGCGTCACGTATACCTGTGTTTCTGAATCCCCACCAAACAGTGATGACACCAGGTGTTCGCGTCACGTATACATCTGTTTCTGAATCCCCACCAAACAGTGATGACACCAGGTGTTCGCGTCACGTATACATCTGTTTCTGAATCCCCACCAAACAGTGATGACAACAGGTGGTCGCGTCACGTATACATCTGTTTCTGAATCCCCACCAAACAGTGATGACACCAGGTGTCCGCGTCACGTATACATCTGTTTCTGAATCCCCACCAAACAGTGATGACAGCGGGTGTTCGCGTCACGTATACCTGTGTTTCTGAATCCCCGCCAAACAGTGATGACAGCAGGTGTCACATGTACATGTGTTTCTGAATCGCTATGAAGCAGTGAAAAGACCAGGTGTTCGCGTCAAATATACGTGTGTTTCTGAATCCCCACGAAACAGTGAATAGACCAGGTGTTTGCGTCAAGTATACATGTGTTTCTGAATCCCCACCAAACCGTGATGACAGCGGGTGTTCGCGTCAAGTATACCTGTGTTTCTGAATCCCGACCAAACAGTGATGACAGCGGGTGGTTGCGTCACGTATACATCTGTTTCTGAATCCCCACCAAACAGTAATGACACCAGGTGGTCGCGTCACGTATACATCTGTTTCTGAATCCCCACCAAACAGTGATGACAACAGGTGTTCGCGTCACGTATACATCTGTTTCTGAATCCCCACCAAACAGTGATGACACCAGGTGTTCGCGTCACGTATACATCTGTTTCTGAATCCCCACCAAACAGTGATGACAGCGGGTGGATGCGTCACGTATACATCTGTATCTGAATCCCCACCAAACAGTGATGACACCAGGTGTTCGCGTCACGTATACATATGTTTCTGAATCCCCACCAAACAGTAATGACACCAGGTGGTCTCGTCACGTATACATCTGTTTCTGAATCCCCACCAAACAGTGATGACACCACATCAACATGTGCCACAGGTGGTCACTGATTTTGTGAGTGAGTTGGGTTTACCTCCGCTTTGAACTTTAATCCAGATCTATTACCGCGGGTCAGCTTAATTAGAGAGGAAAGCCCGAAGTGATACAGAACCGAGACGTTTACCACACTTTAGTGAAACCCACGAGCACGGGTGTGGTGCTGACAAACCAAGATGCAAAATCGAGGCGAACCGAGATTCCAACCAAACATTATAGGTTTCCGGTGTGCCCAAGGGGCGTAACTCTGCACAGCGATTACCTGTACCTCAGACGACTGGGCTACCGTGTTCCCTTCGGAACCAGTTATGAATGAAATGATTGCGCGTGTATCATATAGTGCCTGTTGGCAGCACTCTTCGGAAAACCACTATCTAAACCGTTCACGGAACGTCAGGCATGTCGGCATAGCAACGATATATGGAGCTTATTGGAATTACTTCCCTCAAGTTGATTTCATTCGTGACACCAGGTCTATCAAAATGGTTCATTGCATCGATAACCATGTTCATTACTCAGTGTATACATTACACAACTATAAGTGTGGGTGGACTATGTGTCTGGTGGTGAGTTGCCTCACTATACTTACTGCGCAGGGATTCGGGGTCGGTGTGGTGACGGCTGCAGAGTAGAGGAAGGGGTCGGTTACACGAACACAAAGGACACACAGACATAGTCAGTTTGAATGGGTCGTAATGCGATACATTTTAGTGACCGTAGCAAGAATGGTAAATCAACTATCACATTATTTATTTTTATTTTCCGTTATTGTATATATCAAAGACATAATGATAAAATTATAAGCGACATTTATTGAAGTTACAGTTCTACATGAAACCACAGATGTGCTGAGGGATGTCAGTGGATGTACTTACTGCCGGCTGGGGTGGCCGGGATACTGTGGGATGTCAGTGGCTGTACTTACTGCCGGCTGGGGTGGCCGGGATACTGAGGGATGTCAGTGGATGTACTTACTGCCGGCTGGGGTGGCCGGGATACTGTGGGATGTCAGTGGCTGTACTTACTGCCGGCTGGGGTGGCCGGGATACTGTGGGATGTCAGTGGATGTACTTACTGCCGACAGGACTGAAGCAGCAAACAGCAAAACGATCAACGGGGTCAATGCTGCAGGAGGTGCTGCTAGGGCACGGGCGTCTGTTTGGGCCACGTCCACAGAACAATTCGTTGTTGCTGCTGTCCACAACAGGGAGTCCTATATCACATTGCTTGAGTGTCGAGGGTGGGAGCGTGGCTGTGGGATGGAAAAGTAAACATCAAAACTCATGTGTTAAACCGTGACAGCAACAGACACATGACACTCAGGTCCTCGTTTTATCAATATTGATGCAGGGCACGAGCCAGCAACAGATATAGGACACACAGGCTCATGTTGTACCACTGCAGATGTAGGGCAAGCAACAGACAAGAGGTTTGGTTTGTGACAGTAGAGAACGATTAAGACACCTACGGACACACGTTGCTTGAGGCGGACAGGGGGCTTGGAAACACTGTACATCCTGCAGTCGACACTCAAATCCTCGGGAACATCTCTACAAAGAGAACATTAGACATGAAACATTAATTACATGAATTTAACTCACGTATTTGGCGGAGACATACTGTGGACATACAGATTGAGTGGCCTCACTTTCAGCTTCTGAACAATCTCGAAATTTCTTGTCTTGTTATCAAGTAGCCATGACTTTGTCTTTGGAAGATTTAATTATTTTCACTGCATTACTGATATTGTTTTAGCTGTCTGAATATTTTAAATTTTATCACGTGACGTGGTAGTTGTCCTCAGGCAGGTTTCAATTTAAACGTGTATCTGTCTACCGGGTAGACCCCTGTTGACATAGTCACTGCTACTACACCTGCCAGTGGAGGACCTGGTAGCTTTACAATTCAAACTATTACAACCTTACTGGAATTACAGAAAAACATCTAAGATTCCAAAAAAGTACTAATGGTTTGCAGACAGAACGGTAAAGAGTATAAGTACCGCTGTAGCGGATGGACTGGGAAATATTGGTAGTTGACGGGTGGGGTGGGGTGACGGGTATATATGATTATGTTCACAGAACAGGTAAGGCTGTACGTACCACTATCTGACACGGGTAGTTGACGGGTGGGGTGGGGTGACGGGTATATATGATTATGTTCACAGAACAGGTAAGGCTGTACGTACCACTATCTGACACGGGTAGTTGACGGGTGGGGTGGGGTGACGGGTATATATGATTATGTTCACAGAACAGGTAAGGCTGTACGCACCACTGTCTGACACGGGTAGTTGACGGGTGGGGTGGGGTGACGGGTATATATGATTATGTTCACAGAACAGGTAAGGCTGTACGTACCACTGTCTGACACGGGTAGTTGACGGGTGGGGTGGGGTGACGGGTATATATGATTATGTTCACAGAACAGGTAAGGCTGTACGTACCACTATCTGACACGGGTAGTTGACGGGTGGGGTGGGGTGACGGGTATATATGATTATGTTCACAGAACAGGTAAGGCTGTACGTACCACTGTCTGACACGGGTAGTTGACGGGTGGGGTGGGGTGACGGGTATATATGATTATGTTCACAGAACAGGTAAGGCTGTACGTACCACTATCTGACACGGGTAGTTGACGGGTGGGGTGGGGTGACGGGTATATATGATTATGTTCACAGAACAGGTAAGGCTGTACGTACCACTATCTGACACGGGTAGTTGACGGGTGGGGTGGGGTGACGGGTATATATGATTATGTTCACAGAACAGGTAAGGCTGTACGTACCACTATCTGACACGGGTAGTTGACGGGTGGGGTGGGGTGACGGGTATATATGATTATGTTCACAGAACAGGTAAGGCTGTACGCACCACTGTCTGACACGGGTAGTTGACGGGTGGGGTGGGGTGACGGGTATGTATGATTATGTTCACAGAACAGGTAAGGCTGTACGCACCACTGTCTGACACGGGTAGTTGACGGGTGGGGTGGGGTGACGGGTATATATGATTATGTTCACAGAACAGGTAAGGCTGTACGCACCACTGTCTGACACGGGTAGTTGACGGGTGGGGTGGTGTGGGGTGACGGTTATATATGATTATGTTCACAGAACAGGTAAGGCTGTACGCACCACTGTCTGACACGGGTAGTTGACGGGTGGGGTGGGGTGACGGGTATATATGATTATGTTCACAGAACAGGTAAGGCTGTACGTACCACTGTCTGACACGGGTAGTTGACGGGTGGGGTGGGGTGACGGGTATAAATGATTATGTTCACAGAACAGGTAAGGCTGTACGTACCACTGTCTGACAAGGGTAGTTGACGGGTGGGCTGGGGGTGGTCGATACAGCTGAAACAATCCAAACATTTATTGTGTAACTGGCATTTCATCAATGTAGTTCAATCCGAGCGTCGCATCTCAGAGCACACCACCACAGCCCCGATCCCCGTCGTGTGACGCTTCCCTGAGTTCTCCCTGTTTGCAATGTTGGCTGACTGAACATTTGACTCTTAGGATCAACATGTCCTACGGTATCTACAGACACAAAAACCTGCTTGTTTGTGTGCTTACAAATGTGTGCGTGTGTGTGCGTATGTGCATGTGTGGGCATGTGTGTGTGTGCGTGTGTGTGTTGTTGAAAAGCTACTCACGGACACAAACAGCTTTTTGTCGACATGGGGGCAATCTGCATGAAAAGTCCGGTCGGTTTTCACAATAGTGGCCTTTCAAACATAGCGCCGCCTGCACACAGAACAACACACTTCATGAACATCACTCACCGAGGTGTCTTGGTAACTCTCGTATCAACACAACACGTCACTCTGCATGAATATCTTCAGTTAGTTTTAACGAAGCAAGGTCGTCAGTACGTATATAAGCATGGTATTTTTACTCATCAATTCCTATAATTCACCACTATTTTGCGGTTACGCCCAATAGAATCTGTTTTGGCAGATAATCGAGACTGGTTATTCTCTGGCATTGACGCTTTATTTCTACTCACCGCACAGGGATTGGTCAACACGGGCGAGAGGGTGGCTGAAACAGGAAAGTAAACAGTGGTTAGTCCACACAAGAGCAACTCAAGGTTGACGTAATGACCAAACTCCTCTTTCTGAAACAACGTTGTTGGTTTACATGACCTCTTTCTTTCATTCCAACTATTTACATTTAAATTTCATATTCTGTGGCTGTATGCAGCAAAGCCATACACACAATTACACAATTATAAGCGATAACTGTTGGAGTCAGACCTCTACATGGACCACGGTTGTAATGTGGGATGTCATTGGCTGTACTTACTGCCGGCTGGGGTGGCCGGGGTACTGAGGGATGTCATTGGCTGTACTTACTGCCGGCCGGGGTGGCCCAGGTACTGTGGGATGTCATTGGCTGTACTTACTGCCGGCTGGGGTGGCCGGGGTACTGAGGGATGTCAGTGGATGTACTTACTGCCGGCTGGGGTGGCCCAGGTACTGAGGGATGTCATTGGTTGTACTTACTGCCGGCTGGGGTGGCCGGGGTACTTTGGGATGTCATTGGCTATACTTACTGCTGGCTGGGTTGGCCGGGGTACTGTGGGATGTGATTGGTTGTACTTACTGCGGGCTGGGGTGGCCGGGGTACTGAGGGATGTCAGTGGATGTACTTACTGCCGGCTGGGGTGGCGGGGGTACTGAGGGATGACAGTGGATGTACTTACTGCCGGCTGGGGTACTGTGGGATGTCAGTGGATGTACTTACTGCCGGCTTGGATGGCCCGAATACTGTGGGATGTCAGTGGATGTACTTACTGCCGACAGGACTGAAGCAGCAAACAGCAAAACGATCAACGGGGTCAATGCTGCAGGAGGTGCTGCTAGGGCACGGGCGTCTGTTTGGGCCACGTCCACAGAACAATTCGTTGTTGCTGCTGTCCACAACAGGGAGTCCTATATCACATTGCTTGAGTGTCGAGGGTGGGAGCGTGGCTGTGGGTTGGAAAATAAAGATCAAAACTCATGTGTTAAACCGTGACAGCAACAGACACATGACACTCAGGTCCTCGTTTTATCAATATTGATGCAGGGCACGAGCCAGCAACAGATATAGGACACACAGGCTCATGTTGTACCACTGCAGATGTAGGGCAAGCAACAGACAAGAGGTTTGGTTTGTGACAGTAGAGAACGATTAAGACACCTACGGACACACCTTGCTTGAGGCGGACAGGGGGCTTGGAAACACTGTACATCCTGCAGTCGACACTCAAATCCTCGGGAACATCTCTACAAAGAGAACATTAGACATCAAAAACATTAATTACATGAATTTAACTCACGTATTTGGCGGAGACATACTGTGGACATAAAGAGTGAGTGGCCTCCATTTCAGCTTCTGAACAATCTCGAAATTTCTTGTCTTGTTATCAAGTAGCCATGACTTTGTCTTTGGAAGATTTAATTATTTTCACTGCATTACTGATATTGTTTTAGCTGTCTGAATATTTTTTATTTTTATCACGTAACGTGGTAGTTGTCCTCAGGCAGGTTTCAATTTAAACGTGTATCTGTCTACCGGGTAGACCCCTGTTGACATAGTCACTGCTACTACACCTGCCAGTGGAGGACCTGGTAGCTTTACAATTCAAACTATTACAACCTTACTGGAATTACAGAACACATCTAAGATTCCAAAAAAGTACTAATGGTTTGCAGACAGAACGGTAAAGAGTATAAGTACCGCTGTAGCGGGTGGACTGGGAAATATTGGTAGTTGACGGGTGGGGTGGGGTGGGGTGACGGGTATATATGATTATGTTCACAGAACAGGTAAGGCTGTACGTACCACTGTCTGACACGGGTAGTTGACGGGTGGGGTGGGGTGACGGGTATGTATGATTATGTTCACAGAACAGGTAAGGCTGTACGCACCACTGTCTGACACGGGTAGTTGACGGGTGGGGTGGGGTGACGGGTATATATGATTATGTTCACAGAACAGGTAAGGCTGTACGCACCACTGTCTGACACGGGTAGTTGACGGGTGGGGTGGGGTGACGGGTATATATGATTATGTTCACAGAACAGGTAAGGCTGTACGTACCACTGTCTGACACGGGTAGTTGACGGGTGGGGTGGGGTGACGGGTATATATGATTATGTTCACAGAACAGGTAAGGCTGTACGCACCACTGTCTGACACGGGTAGTTGACGGGTGGGGTGGGGTGACGGGTATATATGATTATGTTCACAGAACAGGTAAGGCTGTACGTACCACTGTCTGACACGGGTAGTTGACGGGTGGGGTGGGGTGACGGGTATATATGATTATGTTCACAGAACAGGTAAGGCTGTACGCACCACTGTCTGACACGGGTAGTTGACGGGTGGGGTGGGGTGACGGGTATATATGATTATGTTCACAGAACAGGTAAGGCTGTACGCACCACTGTCTGACACGGGTAGTTGACGGGTGGGGTGGGGTGACGGGTATATATGATTATGTTCACAGAACAGGTAAGGCTGTACGTACCACTGTCTGACACGGGGAGTTGACGGGTGGGGTGTGGGTGACGGGTATGTATGATTATGTTCACAGAACAGGTAAGGTTTAACGTACCACTGTCTGACACGGGTAGTTGACGGGTGGGGTGTGGGTGACAGGTATATATGATTATGTTCACAGAACAGGTAAGGCTGTACGTACCACTGTCTGACAAGGGTAGTTGACGGGTGGGCTGGGAGTGGTCGATACAGCTGAAACAATCCAAACATTTATTGTGTTACAGGCATTTCATCAATGTAGTTCAATCCGAGCGTCGCATCTCAGAGCACACCACCACAGCCCCGATCCCCGTCGTGTGACGCTTCCCTGAGTTCTCCCTGTTTGCAATGTTGACTGAACATTTGACTCTTAGGATCAACATGTCCTACGGTATCTACAGACACAAAAACCTGCTTGTTTGTGTGCTTACAAATGTGTTCGTGCGTGTGCATGTGTGGGTATGTGTGCGTGTGTGTGTGTGTGTGTGTGTGCGTGCGTGTGTGTGTGTGTGTGTGTGTGTGTGTGTGTGTGTGTGTGTGTGTGTGTGTGTGTGTGTGTGTGTGTGTGTGTGTGTGTGTGTGTGTGTGTGTGTGTGTGTGTGTGTGTGTGTGTGTGTGTGTGTGTGTGTGTGTGTGTGTGTGTGTGTGTGTGTGTGTGTGTGTGTGTGTGTGTGTGTTGTGGATATCAGTGGATGTACTTACTGCCGGTTGGGGTGGCCGAGGTATTGTGGGATGTCAGTGGATGTACTTACTGCCGGTTGGGGTGGCCGAGGTATTGTGGGATGTCAGCGGATGTACTTACTGCCGGCTGGGGTGGCCGGGGTAGTGTGGGATGTCAGTGGCTGTACTTACTGCCGGCTGGGGTGGCCGGGATACTGCGGGATGTCAGCGGTTGTACTTACTGCCGGCTGGGGTGGCCGGGGTACTGTGGGACGTCAGTTGCTGTACTTACTGCCGGGTGGCGTGGCCGGGATGGGTGACACACAACGTTTGCCACAGCCGTTCTTGCAGCACTTGAGGTCGCCGCTGCAGCTGCCGTCGTTGACGCACTCACTCTCACAGGATCCAATTCCAAGGAGATTGGGACACGTCCCCGGCTTGAATTGAATGGGTGTGATCGGTGCCGCTGAAACATGAACATGATGTTACATGCATGTCATCAATGAAGGTCAGGTCAGGTCATGTTGTAACCACCTGTCTCTGTCAAGCCTCATGATTTAGGTCATGTTGTAACCACCTGTCTCTGTCAAGCCTCATGATTTAGGTCATGTTGTAACCACCTGTCTTTGTCAAGCATCATGCTTCAGGTCATGTTGTAACCACCTGTCTCTGTCAAGCATCATGCTTCAGGTCATGTTGTACCCATCCGTCTCTGTCAAGCATCATGCTTCAGGTCATGTTGTAACCACCTGTCTCTGTCAAGCATTACGCTTCAGGTCATGTTGTACCCACTTGTCTCTGTCAAGCATCATGCTTCAGGTCATGTTGTAACCACCTGTCTCTGTCAAGCATCATGCTTCAGGTTATGTTGTAACCACCTGTCTCTGTCAAGCCTCATGCTTTAGGTCATGTTGTAACCACCTGTCTTTATCAAGCATCATGCTTCAGGTCATGTTGTAACCACCTGTCTCTGTCAAGCATAACGCTTCAGGTCAGGATGTACCCACCTGTCTCTGTCAGGCATCATGCTTCAGGTCATGTTGTAACCACCTGTCTCTGTCAAGCATCATGCTTCAGGTCATGTTGTACCCACCTGTCTCTGTCAAGCATCATGCTTTAGGTCATGTTGTACCCACTTGTCTCTGTCAAGCATCATGCTTCAGGTCATGTTGTACCCACTTGTCTCTGTCAAGCATCATGCTTCAGGTCATGTTGTAACCACCTGTCTCTGTCAAGCATCATGCTTCAGGTTATGTTGTAACCACCTGTCTCTGTCAAGCCTCATGCTTTAGGTCATGTTGTAACCACCTGTCTTTATCAAGCATCATGCTTCAGGTCATGTTGTAACCACCTGTCTCTGTCAAGCATTACGCTTCAGGTCAGGATGTACCCACTTGTCTCTGTCAGGCATCATGCTTCAGGTCATGTTGTAACCACCTGTCTCTGTCAAGCATCATGCTTCAGGTCATGTTGTACCCACCTGTCTCTGTCAAGCATCATGCTTTAGGTCATGTTGTAACCACCTGTCTCTGTCAAGCATCATGCTTCAGGTCATGTTGTAACCACCTGTCTTTGTCAATCATCATGCTTCAGGTCATGTTGTACCCACCCGTCTCTGTCAAGCATCATGCTTCAGGTCATGTTGTAACCACCTGTCTTTGTCAAGCATCATGCTTCAGGTCATGTTGTACCCACCTGTCTCTGTCAAGCATCATGCTTCAGGTCATGTTGTAACCACCTGTCTTTGTCAAGCATCATGCTTCAGGTCATGTTGTACCCACCTGTCTCTGTCAAGCATCATGCTTCAGGTCATGTTGTACCCACCTGTTTTTGTCAAGCATCATGCTTCAGGTCATGTTGTAACCACCTGTCTCTGTCAAGCATCATGCTTCAGGTCATGTTGTAACCACCTGTCTTTGTCAAGCATCATGCTTCAGGTCATGTTGTACCCATCCGTCTCTGTCAAGCATCATGCTTCAGGTCATGTTGTAACCACCCGTCTCTGTCAATCATCATGCTTCAGGCCATGTTGTACCCACCTGTCTTTGTCAAGCATCATGCTTCAGGTCATGTTGTACCCACCTGTCTCTGTCAAGCATCATGCTTCAGGTCATGTTGTAACCACATGTCTTTGTCAATCATCATGCTTCAGGTCATGTTGTACCCACTTGTCTCTGTCAAGCCCCATGCTTTAGGTCATGTTGTAACCACCTGTCTTTGTCAAGCATCATGCTTCAGGTCATGTTGTACCCACCTGTCTCTGTCATGCATCATGCTTCAGGTCATGTTGTACCCACCTGTCTCTGTCAGGCCTCATGCTTTAGGTCATGTTGTAACCACCTGTCTTTGTCAAGCATCATGCTTCAGGTCATGTTGTACCCACCTGTCTCTGTCAAGCATCATGCTTCAGGTCATGTTGTACCCACCTGTCTCTGTCAAGCCTCATGCTTTAGGTCATGTTGTAACCACCTGTCTTTGTCAAGCATCATGCTTCAGGTCATGTTGTACCCACCTGTCTCTGTCAAGCATCATGATTTAGTTTAAGCTGTTGTGACCTACCTCTCGGCATCCAGCAACACGTGGTTTGGGTGTCCATCACCTCGAAGTTGCAGGTGGTGTGGTCGGGGCAGTCGTTGTCAGAGATGCAGGAGAGGGCGGTGAAGTTCATACTAAGAACTGGGTCGCCATAGCGACAGCTGCTCACTGGTAGCCTGGGTTCTTAAAAAATAAACATTTATGTTCCATTACATCCTTGTTTCAGTAACATCCATATTACCGTTACATCCATATTACCGTTACATCCATATTACCGTTACATCCATATTACCGTTACATCAATGTAACAGTGACACCCATATTACCGTTACATCAATGTAACAGTGACACCCATATTACCGTTACATCAATGTAACAGTGACACCCATGCAACACTGGCGTGCCTGTTACACTTACGTCTGTGTAACAGTTACATCCTGTTACAATTATATACCTGTTATACATATTGCAGTTACATCTATCATACAATTACGTCCATGTTACAGTAACATCTATGTTACAGTCACATTCTTATTACTGTTACACCAGGTTACATCTACATCCACGTTACAGGAACGTGTGTGTACACTACGAGGGGGACATACAGAGGAAATGTTCACATAGTGAGATGAGGGTAAACACTGTACATACGTAAACACTGAGGTTCCGGCGGACATGGGAACGCTTCACAGGAGACCTTCACGAGACGGCACTCCTCCTCGGGACCGCATCCTCTTCCCTAGAAGACAAGGCGCAGATATTGTTTTGTGTGTTTGTTGTTTAACGCCGTACTCAGCTATATTCCAGCATATGACTGCGGTCAGTAAATAATCGAGTCTGGACCAGCCAATCCAGTGATCGACATTATGAGCATCGATCCACGCAATTGGGATCGATGGCATGCTTCAATCAAGTCAGCGAGCCTGACCACACGATGCCCTTAGTCGCCTCTTACGACAAGCATGGTCGCCTTTTACGGCAAGCATGGGTTGCTGAAGATCTATTCCAACCCGGATCTTCACGGGTCCGCAGACGTTGACAGAATACTGACACTGTGTGGAAAACAAGGTGCCGATATTGACAGAATACTGTCACAGAGTGACATTTAGAGTCAGTATATTGACAATGTGTGTATACAAGGTAAATTAAGTGTCAGTACATTGAGACTGTGTGTATACAAGGTACATTTAGAGTCAGTATATTGGCTTTGGGTATACAAGGTACATTTAGAGTCAGTACATTGACACTGTGTGTACAAGGTACATTAAGAGTCAGTATATTGACACTGTGTATACAAGGTACATTTAGAGTCAGTATATTGACACTGTGTATACAAGGTACATTTAGAGTCAGTATATTGACACTGTGTATACAAGGTACATTTAGAGTCAGTATATTGACACTGTGTGTGTACAAGGTACATTTAGAGTCAGTATATTGACCCCCTGTTTACAAGGTACATTTAGTGTCAGTATACTGACACTGTGTATACAAGGTACATTTAGAGTCAGTATATTGACACTGTGTGTACAAGGTACATTTAGAGTCAGTATGTTGACACTGTGTATACAAGGTACATTCAGAGTCAGTATATTGACACTGTGTGTATACAAGGTACATTTAGAGTCAGCATTGACACTGTGTGTATACAAGGTACATTTAGAGTCAGTATATTGACACTGTCTGTATACAAGGTACATTTAGAGTCAGTACATTGAGACTGTGTATACAAGGTACATTTAGAGTCAGTATATTGACACTGTGTATACAAGGTACATTTAGAGTCAGTATATTGACACTGTGTGTATACAAGGTACATTTAGAGTCAGTATATTGATACTGTGTGTATACAAGGTACATTTAGAGTCAGTATATTGACACTGTGTATACAAGGTACATTTAGAGTCAGTATATTGACACTGTGTGTATACAAGGTACATTTAGAGTCAGTATATTGACACTGTGTATACAAGGTACATTTAGAGTCAGTTTATTGACACTGTGTATACGAGGTACATTTAGAGTCAGTATATTGAGAGTGGCGTACACTCGCATTAAGACAATGTGATACTGCGACAGTGCAGGGAAAACGTGAACTGTGGGACTATTTACTGAGTGTGGAGACAACCTGGAATTCGAAACATCCAGTTCGACACAGCAGGTTAACTTAATGAGAAATATATTAAGGGATTGGGGGATCAAATTGTAAACACGACACAACCGGGTATTCGACACATTAAAGACGACGGGTTCGAGTGCCCTGTGTTTAAATTATGCTTGAAGAAACGGTGACGTTTGGCTAAACGTAGACCGCATTACGATCTCCTCAATTGCCCCGAATACTTTCGCGTCTCCAAATGCAAGAAAGCGAGGCTATACAAGCATTCTAGTTTGCTGTAGCCCACCTATTTGCTAGACCCTAAATGTCAACTGTTTAGGGCGATTATCTTGACACAAAAAGCGTTATGTCCTTTTAGCTTTCAGTACATGAATTTGAGTGCACAAAATTCAAAGCGTGCCTGTTGACATATGAGTATGAATAACAGCGCGACGAGAGACGCCTTACAGAGTTTGGGAAACATAGTTAACACAGAGAGTAGACGTACACAGGCAAAACAGCACACAGGTAACACAGCACACAGGTAACACAGACAGTAGACGTACACAGGTAACACAGCACACAGGTAACACAGACAGTAGACGTACACAGGTAACACAACACACAGGTAACACAGACAGTATATGTACACAGGTGAAACAGCACGCAGGTAACAAAGACAGTATATGTACACAGGTGAAACAGCACACAGGTAACACAGACAGCATATGTACACAGGTAAAACAGCACACAGGTAACACAGCGCACAGGTAACACAGCACACAGGTAACACAGACAGTAGACGTACACAGGTAAAACAACACACAGGTAACTCAGCACACAGGTAACACAGCACACAGGTAACACAGCACACAGGTAACACAGCCATTAGACGTACACAGGTGAAACAACACACAGGTAACACAGACAGTTTATGTACACAGGTAACACAACACACAGGTAACACAGACAACATATGTACACAGGTAACACAGCACACAGGTAAAACAGCACACAGGTAACACAGCGCACAGGTAACACAGCACACAGGTAACACAGACAGCATATGTACACAGGTAACACAACACACAGGTAACACAGACAGCATATGTACACAGGTAACACAACACACAGGTAACACAGACAGCATATGTACACAGGTGAAACAGCACACAGGTAACACAGCGCAGAGGTAAAACAGCACACAGGTAACACAGCGCACAGGTAAAAAAGCACACAGGTAACACAGCGCACAGGTAACACAGCACACAGGTAACACAGCACACAGGTAACTCAGCACACAGGTAACACAGCACACAGGTAACACAGCACACAGGTAACACAGCACACAGGTAACTCAGCACACAGGTAACACAGCACACAGGTAACTCAGCACAAAGGAAACACAGACAGTAGACCTACACAGGTAACACAACACACAGGTAACACAGACAGTATATGTACACAGGTGAAACAGCACACAGGTAACACAGCACACAGGTAAAACAGCACACAGGTAACACAGCGCACAGGTAACACAGCACACAGGTAACACAGACAGCATATGTACACAGGTGAAACAGCACACAGGTAACACAGCACACAGCTAACACAGACAGTAGGCGTACACAGGTAATACAACACACAGGTAACACAGCACACAGGTAACACAGACAACTGACGAACACAGGTACATAAGCACACAGGCAGAAGAGAGTAACCCGATCCTGTTCATCCTTTTTCTTTTAGTGAAATCATCTCCAACAACCTCCATGATTTCAACCTCCATGCCTCGCACAAATATCAAGTCATTGTCTCATCAAAGAAGTCATAAAATTATGTCTACTCCGGTTTATGAAACGGAGAAGACATGTTCACATCTGAACATATCACTCATCCTGTATATAAGAGAGATCATCTGCACGACGTTTGCCTGGTACAAATATCAAGTCATTGTCTCATCAAAGAAGTCATTAAATTGTATCCAAGCCACAAGAAAAAAAATCATCTTGTTAGTTTGCGCATACCACACAACGTGTCGCGAACAAGAATTCTGTTTGGGCATTGAAGAGCGGAAACGGAAATATGTAAATTTATATTATGCATCCTTAAACAGTGAAGCATTGTGATTAGTGTGTGTTGTGATACTACTGACTTCTGATTGGAGGGATGTTTACTGCTGACTTCTGATTGGCGGGATGTTAACTGCTTGCTTCTGATTGATTGGCTTGAGGTTTATAACTGACGTTTGATTGGCTGAATGTTTCATGTTGACATCTGATTGGCTGGATGTTGACCCCTAGCTTCTGATTGACTGACTGAATGTTTACTACTGACTTCTGATTGGCTGGCTATTATACATACCTCCGCCTCTTTCTGCCTGCAGGGGTCGTTGTATTGTTGCTGGGCGACGATTGTCAGGGCGAGACACAGCTGGAAGGATAGTAGTATGTCAAATGTAATAGAACACAGCTCAGCCGATACTAAGTAACGTTTGCGTGTTTGTTTGTTTGTTTGCTGAACGCCTCACTCACAATATTCCTGCTATATGGCGGTCTGTAAATAATCGAGTCTGGACCTGACAATTAAGTGATTGACGTGCATCAACCAATTGGCCAAGTCAGCGAGCCTGACCACCCGACCCCGTTCGTCGCCTCTTACGACAAGCATGGGTTGCTGAAGATCAATTCTAAGTCGGATCATCACGGGTATCTTAAGTACTGGAGTGTATGTAACAGATCAAATGTGTAATCAATTATCATGTATATACTTGATAAATGTATATTTTTGCACTCTTGTAATGGCGATGTGACGGTATCATGTTGATTGCATTAATAAAGAATCTAGGTTGACATCAAAGTCTGTGTTATTCCTCATATTAACGCAGCAATGTGCCACAATAGTTAGCTACATAATATATATATATATATATATATATATATATATATATATATATATATATATATATATATATAATGACAGGATCATAAAATACAATAAAATAAAAGCAGTTTTAGGATAATTTGACAGATAGCGTTCTGGTATAAACTTGTTTCTTAAACACAATAAGACGGACATACACAAATAAAATGAATTTCGTTGCATAGTATGTATGATAACTGAGTGAATCAGGTGTACACATAGTACCATAATACCTCAGGTACGTCTGCTGGTAATCCATGGCTTACCGACATTGAGACAGGCGTGTTTCTGGGATCAAAACAAACATCAGAGGCTTTGTCACACATGCAGGTACGCCATCTGATTTGTGTAACATGTGTTTGGCCAGGGTTGGCAGCTATATAACCACTTGACGAGTGACTTGTTCTAGACGGACCATACCGATCTACTCACAGCAACAACTTTGGTCCTGGATCGCCCTGTCATAGCTTCTAAACACATGAAGATTAACAAATGTGTGTACACATGTACCCTGCATAGATAGATAGATAGATAGATAGATAGATAGATAGATAGATAGATATGCTCTACATGTAGGTGCCAGGCACGTTGTTCTATATGTAGGTGCTAGGCACGTTGCACTATGTGTAGGTGCTAGGCACGCTGTTCTATATGTGGGTGCTGGGAACTCTGTTCTATATGTAGGTACTAGGCACGTTGCACTATATGTAAGTGCAAGGCACGTTGTTCTATATATAGGTGCTAGGCACGCTGTTCTATATGTGGGTGCTGGGAACTCTGTTCTATATGTAGGTGCTAGGCACGCTGTTCTATATGTGGGTGCTAGGCACGTTGTTCTATGTGTAGGTGCTAGGCACATTGTTCTGTATGTAGGTGCCAGGCACGTTGTTCTATGTCTAGGTGCTGGGCACGTTGTTCTATATGTGGGTGCTGGGAACTCTGTTCTATGTGTAGGTGCTAGGCACGTTGTTCTATATGTGGGTGCTGGGAACCCTGTTCTATGTGTAGGTGCTAGGAACTCTGTTCTATGTGTAGGTGCTAGGAACTCTGTTCTATGTGTAGGTGCTAGGCACGCTGTTCTATATGTGGGTGCTAGGCACGTTGTTCTATGTGTAGGTGCGAGGCACGTTGTTCTAAATGTGGGTGTTGGTAACTCTGTTATATATGTAGGTGCGAGGCACGTTGTTCTATGTGTAGGTGCGAGGCACGTTGTTCTAAATGTGGGTGTTGGTAACTCTGTTATATATGTAGGTGCTAGGCACGTTGTTCTATGTGTAGGTGCGAGGCACGTTGTTCTATATGTGGGTGTTGGTAACTCTGTTCTATGTGTAGGTGCGAGGCACGTTGTTCTAAATGTGGGTGTTGGTAACTCTGTTATATATGTAGGTGCTAGGCACGTTGTTCTATGTGTAGGTGCGAGGCACGTTGTTCTATATGTGGGTGCTGGGAACTCTGTTCTATGTGTAGGTGCGAGGCACGTTGTTCTATATGTGGGTGCTGGGAACTCTGTTCTATGTGTAGGTGCTAGGCACGTTGTTCTATATGTGGGTGCGAGGCACGTTGTTCTATGTGTAGGTGCGAGGCACGTTGTTCTATGTGTAGGTGCGAGGCACGTTGTTCTATATGTGGGTGCTGGGAACTCTGTTATATATGTGGGTGCTGGGAACTCTGTTCTATATGTAGGTGCGAGGCACGTTGTTCTATATGTGGGTGCTGGGAACTCTGTTCTATGTGTAGGTGCGAGGCACGTTGTTCTATATGTGGGTGCTGGGAACTATGTTCTATGTGTAGGTGCGAGGCACGTTGTTCTATATGTGGGTGCTGGGAACTCTGTTCTATGTGTAGGTGCTAGGCACGTTGTTCTATATGTGGGTGCTGGGAACTCTGTTCTATGTGTAGGTGCGAGGCACGTTGTTCTATATGTGGGTGCTGGGAACTCTGTTCTATGTGTAGGTGCGAGGCACGTTGTTCTATATGTGGGTGCTGGGAACTCTGTTCTATGTGTAGGTGCGAGGCACGTTGTTCTATATGTGGGTGCTAGGCACGTTGTTCTATGTGTAGGTGCGAGGCACGTTGTTCTATATGTGGGTGCTAGGAACTCTGTTATATATGTGGGTGCTGGGAACTCTGTTCTATATGTAGGTGCGAGGCACGTTGTTCTATATGTGGGTGTTGGTAACTCTGTTCTATGTGTAGGTGCGAGGCACGTTGTTCTATATGTGGGTGTTGGTAACTCTGTTCTATGTGTAGGTGCGAGGCACGTTGTTCTATATGTGGGTGCTAGGAACTCTGTTCTATATGTGGGTGCTGGGAACTCTGTTCTATATGTAGGTGCAGGGCACGTTGTTCTATATGTGGGTGCTGGGAACTCTGTTCTATGTGTAGGTGCTAGGCAAGCTACTACATTTCACTCTCACACTTTAAGCCTCGATGGGTTCACGTACCAACTGCCTGAATGTCCCATGAATCATTGTTCAGATGCCGCTTGACAGTAACACTATTATTATATAACTACTTTCAAACGATATTGGTTTACTTGGGAAACTGGTATTTAGTTAGAACACGTAGCCGTGACATGCTGAACATTTGTCAGGATCATTCGCCTATCTACATCCGTGGTTGGACGTGTCCCGCTTTCATCCAGAAAGGCATTGCCTAAAAGTCGGGACGGGCCAAAGTGTTATTGGCTAATTACATCATTATCGGCGACCACACCTACATATTACTGATGCAACATACACACATGACATTTGTGAACAATCACCAACAAAAAACTTGACCATAATTAAGTAATTCGGAGTAAATCGCTTGAAAACCAGAAAGTGGAGCAGTGTGTAAGCGTCGCTGATCTTGGTAACATGTAAAAGAGCAATCGTTAAACGAAATAATATTTGAAACGTATCAAATACTTCTAGCTATCGTGATACCAATTTCCATCTGTCGGCATAGCGTTTATATTTATAGGATAGTACTATATCTAAGTAAATACCTCTTTATAATGTCACTGTTCATCGTATTTAAAGCAGACACGTTGGTGAAAGTAGACCTTTTCTCCCTATACTCTCAACAGTCTCACAAGTGTTCGGTCCGACTTGGCCCGGGCTGTCAAAATCGAATCAAACCTCACATATATATCATGAAATGGATTCACATCTACCTATATACCACTTTATAGTGTCTCAGATCGCGGTACTTAAGGAAAACAAGGTGCTCAAAGTGAAGCCCTTTTCCCTCTATTAGATATTATATTATTTTCTCTTGGAACATCTATAAGATGTACAATTACATGTATTTACCAAAACGTTTTTACTTCATTAAATAAACATTCACTCATTGAACATCTCCAACAGTTTTGTCCATGTTGAGATCCACTGAAATGGTTAGTGCACTTGTTATATTTATATGGAACAGAACGATATTTGTGATTAAATACGATTTTATTGGATACATTTACCTTGGCTATATTTAAAAATTCAACAATAGCTTGCGTGTGGTTTGTTTGGAAGTATAAAATCAACTATTGTTTGTAAAAACCATTTGTGTGTGTTAATATATATGGGTTTTTTAAAGAAGAGGTGTTTGTATAGATAATTATTTGTGTGTTCACAAACCCCTATCATGTAATTATATTTTCCTGAATAACATGTTGTTTGCATGTAAAATAAATGTCCCTGTTCACCTATGTAGAAAGTCAATAAGCGAAAAAAAACCTGAGTAACAGACTGTGTATTATAGATCCATGGAAATACGATTGCATAGACGATCAATTCAGAATACAACAGGTGTAAGGTGTGACTAATTGAAATGTATCTCGATGACTAATTGAAATGTATTTCGCAGGTAATAATTAATAAACATTTTGACAGAACAACAAGTGAAGGATTGAGTTGAATTTTGGTTTTGCGAAAAAGGTCCGTGGTTTCTGTGGATGAAACTAAGTTTGACAATGTTGCAAATGATCACTTTCTTTGACTTCATTACGGATTCCTCAACCTGTATCGAGGAGAATTGTTTACAGTTAAGTAAAATTTTAATTAAGATTTCTTAAAGCTGTCACGGTGGCAAATTCAAACTTCGATATCATGGTACACAGTTCTATTGTAAAGTCAGATTGGGACCGAGATGGCGGTCGTGATCGGAGAATAGGTTCTAGAGTTCGGTACACACATTCGTGGTAAATATCTCTCATGTAGTGACTGATAGGGATTTTGTCATGTTTTGAAGAAATGTCATCACTGTCATGCTTTTGATGATACACAAAACGTAAGCTTTACCTCAAACATGCTAGTTCCGGTCACAAAATATATGCTTTACTGCTTTTTACTTTTTACTGATTTTTGTATTAATAAGATTACAACGTTTCTCAAGGTTACTGACTCCAAGAATTCATTAAAGTGCATTTTAAGCACCTAAAATTGACAACTAACACCCTGATCGCAAAACTCCCAACGATTTATACTAAAAATAGATACGAAAACTTTTGCTGAACCCGAGGTTTGAATGTCTGACAAATACGTACTTTCTTGTGTTCTCATACATAAAACAGCAGTGAAAACATGATCTAACATGGCTTACTGTGGAATGTGTCTTGGATTGTAAACTGTCCATATTATTCCAAATTGTATACATACACATGTGTCATGTCTTTATTTGGTTTTGTGTCTCTACCCGCTAACATATGTGGCAAGATACACCTTCCAGGATAGTGGACGATGTGGACACTGACGTAAATTTCTACAACATGTCCAAACATTCCCAAACAGACAGAATCATATGCTTTCTGAAAGTCAATCCAGCACATCATCGTTGTCGTCGTCGTTTTTGTCGTCTACGTCATCATTATCCTTGAAGGATAGTGGACGGTATGGACACTTGAATATTTCGAATATTTGGAAATGTGTGCATTTTAATTAATACAAACACTATTTTAAGCGTCAGGAAACACGGGATTTTTCATGAATGGCGAGTATATAAACTTGGGAAGCTAACTTGACATTTCGTTTGTACGGTCCTCATACTGTCTTTGTCTTGTTTCTCCTGAATCTCATTAGTTCCTCAAGAAACAGATATATCGGTCATACAATGATTTCATTGGATTTATCAAAAAGGACCATATCAGGTTTGTTCGCTTGGATACGTCTGACTCTGTATGTGGGCGTATTCCAAAGAATTTTATATGTAAATATCATTTCCCACGACGCCCTCTGCATATTCTGGGTCGTACCATTGATGGTCTCGGAGACAAAAACCGTCCAGCACCATCCACAAAATAAACATTAACATTGATATTCAGTACTACATCAATGGGTCGTTTAGGAAAATCCACTGTTTTCAGTCTTGACATGCTTCACAAGAGGATCTTCAGATATATAAATATGTGCAATAGTGCACAATTAATTTCAATCATGAAATGCCTCCTTGTTAATCACACCATGGTCCCCGTCCTCGTCATACCAAAACACGTTAACATATGGTCATCATCATCACCATAAGCAACTATCATCATTATCATTATTATGTTTATGTTCCCGTCACAGTACATCGTATTAAAATAAACAAGGTGCTCAAAGTGAAGCCCTTTTCCCTCTACATTCTCAACATAATCAGAAGTATTTGGCTTGTGTTGGGTCCGACTTGGCCCGGGCTGTCAAAATCAACCTTAAACACAAAGATGTATCTTCAAGTGTGTTTACATCTGTACATCCCTAGTCATTCGCGAATACCCACTTCCAGAAAACATCCTGTGTTGGATTAACATGAATTAGTAAAAGTTGATTAGGGATGCCCAACACACAGTCAAGACACTGACTTTTCTACGAGGACTCGCGGTATGTAGTCATAATTATCAGTTTATTACCTTGTTGAAGATGCATTTTGATTCAAACTCAATTGAATGAGCAAAACTATACTTTTGTGGACATTTGAGATCTGCCTAGATATGGACGTTTCGTTTTATTATTCTGCAATCCATTTTTAGTGTTATCCGCTGGCCCGGCCCGGTTCGACTTTTCTTGGCCCGACTTTTAGGCAGTCCCACCAAGAAACGTAACGAGGTCACGTGACGCCGTGGGAGAAGTGTCAATTTGCTACTGTCTGACCACGGCCATGGATGTGACACAATAAGGACATTGTTACTGTTTCGCGTAAATGTGGCAAAGGAAGAACGTTGTTACTGTTGCTACGAGTGAGTGAGTGAGTGAGTTGGGCTTGACGCCGCTTTTAACATTATCCAGTTATATCGCGGCGTGTCAGCTTAATGTGGGAGGAAAGCACGAAGTGATGCAGGTCTCAGACATTTACCACTTCGGTGAAACCCACGAGCACGGGTATGGTGCTGACAAACCTAGAAACATAATCGGGGCGAACCGGGATTCGAACCCACAATCATAGGTTTCTGGCGTGCCCAAGGGACGCAACTCTGCACAGCGAACCGCAGCGCCTCAGACGACTGGGCCACCCGTGCCCCCTACAGTTGCTACGAGTCTGGTGGGTACGCGTAAATGTGGCAAACTGACAGATGTTGTTGCTATGGCTACGACTGGGGTAGGTACAAAATGTGGCAATGGAGCGACGTTGTTACTGTGGCTACGATTTGTGTGGTTCGCGTAAATGTGGCAAAGGAAGGGCGTTGTTACTGTGGCTACGAGTGGTGTGGTTCGCGTAAATGTGGCAAAGGAAGGGCGTTGTTACTGTGGCAACGAGTGGTGTGGTTCGCTTAAATGAGGCAAAGGAAGGGCGTTGTTACTGTGGCTACGAGTGGTGTGGTTCGCGTAAATGTGGCAAAGCAAGGGCGTTGTTACTGTGGCAACGAGTTGTGTGGTTCGCGTAAACGTGGCAAAGGAAGGGCGTTGTTACTGTGGCAACGAGTGGTGTGGTTCGCGTAAATGTGGCAAAGGAAGGGCGTTGTTACTGTGGCAACGAGTGGTGTGGTTCGCGTAAATGTGGCAAAGGAAGGGCGTTGTTACTGTGGCTACGAGTGGTGTGGTTCGCGTAAATGTGGCAAAGGAAGGGCGTTGTTACTGTGGCAACGAGTGGTGTGGTTCGCGTAAATGTGGCAAAGGAAGGGCGTTGTTGCTGTGGCTACGAGTGGTGTGGTTCGCGTAAATGTGGCAATGGAGGGACGTTGTTGCTGTGGCTACGAGTGGTGTGGTTCGCGTAAATGAGGCAAAGGAAGGGCGTTGTTACTGTGGCTACGAGTGGTGTGGTTCGCGTAAATGTGGCAATGGAGGGACGTTGTTGTTGTGGCTACCAGTGATGTTGGTAAGCGTCATTATGGAAAAAGACGTACGTTGTTGCTATGGCTGTGGCAACCAGTAGGCTGGGATGTGACTCAATGCAAATATTAATACACAATGCCAATCGCCAGCACACAAAGTCAGATTAGGTGCCTCACTGTGGCAAGTGTGGGTTCGAATCCCGGACGGGACTCAACCCCAAAAAGTACTAGAATCTGTACTTCACTAAGAAAGAGTTATCCCAAATATAACTTTGTTATAAATGCAAATATTGTTGTTGTCGCAGCCCATGGCGTCGGACACACGTGGAGGCGACACCAGACGGACAATGTGATCCGCCGATGAGTCCTGTGTCCCGCGGCCGGCTTGGGGCGACACTGTCACGGAAGTCGGGGACAAGCCTACACATCAGTACACGGGAGTGTCACAAACACAAAGGTGTCTAATTCCAAAGGGAGTGTTTAACATAATCCGGCTTTCTCTTTATAAATTAACCTTACTTATAACAGCTGACTGTCGCCTTTGTTAACAAGTATGAATGTAGATAACGGTCGTCAGATAATAGATGCAGGTAATACACCTATTTAATAGTTTTAAAGCTTTTAGATAAATACTAGCCTAGGGTAACAAGATCCCAAGCAGACCTCTTTTGCTTAACATCTTGCTTCTCTATCTATTTAACTAAAATTTAGAACAATAAAAAGGAATATGATTGTTTGTGTGCCCTGTGGTTGATGAATGTCTAGACAGAGGGGAATACTTAGTCCTGTTGTTTCTGTTGGACTGGCACTAATCTTGTTGACATATTTACTGGGTGCAATCTATAAAACTGTGTAGACATATCTTTTGTCGTTTTGAATATTATGTCTGGGAGGTGGGATCTTGTTACCCTAGGCTAGTATTTATCTAAAAGCTTTAAAACTATTAAGCTATGTAGACATAACTTTTGTCTTATTGAATGGTTTGTCTGGCAGATGTGTTCTCGTTACCTCAGGCTAGCATCTATCTAGAAAACTATAACTGAAACAACTGATATTTTGTATATGCATTTTACTTTGATAAATATGAATTACTTGCTGTTCTATAATTATATGTAATTTTGTATAAATGTTACACCATGATAACTCATAAAAGCACTTGCTGTGGATCTAATTATTATATTAAAACTAAGTATAAATGTCATATCATGATACATCACTGAACAGGAAACTGTGGTGTAATGCGTCATCTACCCACTCCTTGCAGCAGTTGACAGGACGATACACATACAATAACAGCGTTATACACCACACAGACATACAGTCATGCTGGTTGCAAGTTAAGATTGACCGATACAATAGTCCCAGATGATACAGCAAGAGTCTCGTGGATATATAGTATACTCTAAGCCGACTCATTACATATCTCACTGTGATATTAAACAAGACAGTGTATGTACTCACCGTGAAAGTGACGACTGTTATAAAGCCCATGTTGAAGGCGGATCTATTCACTGTTTTCTACGGACACTTCGCTACAGGGAGTCCGTTCAGTACACCAAGTACCTCTGTTTACTTTGACTGCTGTACTCATGACGTGTATTTATAGGCCGGCCCTACAGCTCCCTGTCACGACCAATGACGAGCTCTGACGTTCATGTTGCCGTAGGTCAAGGGGCATTTCTCAACTTTGGGTCCGGATCCTCTTGAATAGAGTTGTTGTCCTGCTAGTCGACTAGCCGGAGCAACATGGTGTTGACGGCGAACCCTGGTCTACGTTGCCATATTCGTGCAAATTGGGATCTAACACCATTGATAATATGACTCACGATACAGTTCAAGCCCATTGCACTCACAATGTGGTGAAAGGATGTATCTGTCTATTGGAGGAGATGGGGTGTGTGTGTTTATGGCGCGCGGGGGGGGGGGGGTGTCTCAGTGGCAAATATACAAGTTTGATGAAGACAAAAAGACATGTCATGCCCTTGTTCAATAGTGTAACTCATAACTCCAAATAGTGCTACGTAGCTCCCTTTAGTGGAAGGATATTGTTTTCATTAGAAATCTACACTGTGAGGTCAGAGTGCTTCTACTGGGATATGTGGAAACTATCATGGAACACTGCAGAATGAAACACCTACAGTACATTCGGAAATCCTAGAAAATTGCTTTTCTGGCTTCATTTAATAAATACGAGTCTCAGGACTATAAAAAGAGCATATATCAAAATAACGCAAATTGCCCTAATCTGGCCTATCCTAACTGACACTGTGATTACCCTTCAAATGTACTTTTACAGGTAAAATGACTTAGAAAATATTCGTGTGTTGTCATGCATGTATGAAAATGCTTATAACCCGAGGTAATTGCCCAACACCTGTCCCGAGGTGATTACCTCACACCGTCCCATGCATTCTCACAGGTGCAAATGTCATCGAGTTGGGGATGGTCTCAAAATATTGCTGTTATTGTACTTATTGGACATGTGCGTTGATAGGGAAGAAATTAAGGATATGTACTACATTATATTTGCTTGGAAACATGATGGACTAGTTAAGTGCTATGAAATATTGGAAGGTTGTGGTTTTGGAATCCAGAAGTATTTGTTGTTCTACAAATTAATTCTTGAGGTAGCATTTATCCCCGCTGATGACGTATATGAATCTGTACTTTTGAATTTTGAATGAACCCTTTACACTTAGCCAAGATAGGTACAACAGGGTTGAGCTCACAATGTCTGACTGGCGTACGTAAGACAACGTGACCGTGTTGTGTCGCCAGCACATATGTCTTGTACTTTACAGGGTTCTTATTCAGTAGACTTTTCTCCATGAGTTGAACTTTCGTTTCATATATGGTCTGAAGTCGACAATGTCATATATTCCTGTATGGTCGCCTTCAGACTACTCATGGTTTGGGCGACAGTATCTGATTCCCGGACGTTATATTTACTGGCGGTATCTATTACAATGACACTGACGTTGTTTAAAATGGGCAATAGCTAAAGTTCGAACCAGTCTATGAACACATCACCTCCTATAATGTCCTTATGAAAATCACCAGTTTTCTTTTTCGCCTCGAAAACGAGCACACATCCATCAATAAGCCCCATTGCAGCGTGCAAAACAATGACACGATTACCTTTACCTGATGGTGTATGGGTGCTTTTTGGCGATAGCCACGTGTAGTCAGTGGAATGATCAAGGTAAATTATCTGGACGCCCTGACTGTGATAGTTATGAAAGGTTCGGAGTTAATGTGACCTCATAGACAGGATTGAATATTTTCCCCTGATAAGTGCTCGGTCATCGCCACACACAATGTATCGAAATCCCACCTTTTGGAGGCAATGGGCAATAGTTAGTGCAGTTAACATTAATTATATCTTTAATTCCTCCCAAATTCTACTACAAATCAGGGTTACCTTCTTCTCATAAAGCTTGTACACTATACGCCTAATCGCCCTGTATCAAAGCTGTCTAATATCTTTTTAACGTCCCAGTTCTGTTTTTGAGACCTCCCTATACCAGTTTTGTTTTCCTATCATACCGTAGACTTGATGGTATGAATTGAAAACCATATACCTTGGGTAATTCACCCTATCTAAATAAATAAATGTTTTCCCTCTACCTCTCTAAATTGTAAAGAACTTGTATACATTCCCCAGTACAGACTCTATATCGTGTACCATGGTTATTGCTATGCAAGTGTAATGTAACATGCATCATGGGAGCAATGTTAAAACAGACGCAGGGTCATTTTGTCATTTAAGAAGATGCACATCTAGAATTTTCTCAAAATGATTTTTGTGTGTGGATTAGACGTTTTATGAAGACTACATAATTATCCTTATAACGGAGACACGTGCGCATATTTCTATAGTCAGTTTCAGACTACCATCATCTGACTTAAAATAAATGTAATCTTCCTGTTTTCGTTCGAAATTGTCTCCTGTAAACTTGTCGATAGGACTCCTTGTGACTGAAATACTTCAAATCACAGGTAGGGCGATCGGTAGTTACTCGATATTTCAATAACAATAGTCTGTGAAAATATATATCCTTTTTTAACAGGCAAAAAGCAGTTTTCTAGCATTTCCGAAAGCCCCTTTTTTAATTCAACTGTGTAATCGGCGTAAGTGTCACATTTGTCTCCCTGTTGCTATTAACACTCACAAAACACCCCGCGCTCAACCATAGAGATATCGTCGTGCTAATTAGTCCTTTAAATACATGACACATCTTGTGGATAGCAGCTTCTTTTATTCTTTGTCACGACGTTTCAGAGCGACTTCTTGCTTCCTCGTCAGGTGAAGGCTGAGTAAATGTATAAAGGTAACATATAATAAGTCAACGAAATAGAAAAAGTGAAAAAATGTACATGGTATTTATCAGTGAACACAGAATGCCATTAAGAAAGTGGTCAAATGAAACAAATGTTTTATTTGGGATAACACTTTCTCAGTAAAGTACATATTCTCGTACTCTGTGTACCCTTCTGACAAGTGTAAATTGCCACGGCTCCCATGGCCGAAAGCTATGAATACAGAATGCCATTTAGAAAGTAGTTCTAGACTACAAGTTGTCGGATTTTCATTTTGTGGAGGTCTCGGTGGCTGTGTGGGTTAGATCGCTGACTTGGCGTGCTGGTGATTAGGTGCCTCACTCACAGTGTGGGTTCGAATCCCGAACGGGTCTCAACCCCAAAAATGTACGAGAATATGTATTGAATATATAATGAAAGTGTTATCCCAAATGTTACACTTGGTATTTATCAAGGTATTGGAAGTTTTATCTTTATATCCCCTTTGGAATTAAGACGTATTTTCTATATATCGAGCTATCGATCTCTGACAAAAGTGTCTTGTATGAAGAGTAAAATACAAGGGTTTTTTGCTGGCTGTAAAAGTGTACCAAACTTGGAATCTATTACCCCTTGCCTGAGAAGGTTTACAAACACATTGCTATTTCCAGCTTCTTGTGAACAAGGTCTTTTCAAACAACTCTCGTGTGACCAGGTTTACGATGCTGAACAAGAGAAGTCAACCACTAAAGAAATGTAAAATGCTCCACCCACTCACCATACACGCCCACCGTACACGCCCACGCTACACGCCCACCCTACATGCCCACCCTACACGCCCACCCAACATTCACAAAAACAAAACAACCTTCCTTTTATTAATTCTTACAAAAAAAGTTGGGTGTGGGGAAATGTCTTCCTTCGAGTGGGTAATTGTCCTGTAGGGTAGTGTGGGTAATAGTCCTGTAGGGTAATGTGGGTAATTGTCCTGTAGGGTAATGTGGGTAATTGTCCTGTAGGGTAATGTGGGTAATAGTCCTGTAGGGTAATGTGGGTAATAGTCCTGTAGGGTAATGTGGGTAATAGTCCTGTAGGGTAATGTGGGTAATTGTCCTGTAGGGTAATGTGGGTAATTGTCCTGTAGGGTAATGTGGGTAATAGTCCTGTAGGGTAATGTGGGTAATAGTCCTGTAGGGTAATGTGGGCAATAGTCCTGTAGGGTAGTGTGGGTAATTGTCCTGTAGGGTAGTGTGGGTAATTGTCCTGTAGGGTAGTGTGGGTAATAGTCCTGTAGGGTAATGTGGGTAATAGTCCTGTAGGGTAGTGTGGGTAATTGTCCTGTAGGGTAATGTGGGTAATAGTCCTGGAGGGTAGAGTGGGTAATTGTCCTTGAGGGTAGTGTGAGTAATTGTCCTAGAGGGTAATGTGGGTAATAGTCCTGGAGGGTAGTGTGAGTAATTGTCCTAGAGGGTAATTTGGGTAATTGTCCTTGAGGGTAGTGTGAGTAATTGTCCTAGAGGGTAATGTGGGTAATAGTCCTTGAGGGTAGTGTGAGTAATTGTCCTAGAGGGTAATGTGGGTAATAGTCCTGGAGGGTAATGTGGGTAATTGTCCTGGAGGGTAGTGTGGGTAATTGTCCTAGAGGGTAATGTGAGTAATAGTCCTGGAGGGTAGTGTGGGTAATTGTCCTAGAGGGTAGTGTGGGTAATTGTCATGGAGGGTAGTGTGGGTAATTGTCCTAGAGGGTAATGTGGGTAATTGTCCTGGAGGGTAGTGTGGGTAATTGTCCTAGAGGGTAATGTGGGTAATAGTCCTGGAGGGTAGTGTGGGTAATTGTCCTGGAGGGTAGTGTGGGTAATTGTCCTGGAGGGTAGTGTGGGTAATAGTCCTGGAGGGTAGTGTGGGTAATTGTCCTCTCGGCGGTTGACCATGTGGGGAAATGTCCGGAACCCCCCCAACACATCTTTACGTGTTTCTTACGTGTTTCTCTGTACGTGTACGCACAACATCTACACTTCATTCAAAATATAAGCAAACGCGCTATCGTGACATTGGATTGTTTGGTCCATCACAAGATTGTCTGGTCACGAATCGATTGTTTACAGGCCGATGTAGCGTGGCAGGAGTACCGCAGTGAGGCGGCAGACAACACAGACTTGGTGGGAGCGGCGGACGCTACCGGTGGGACAGGAGTACCGCAGTGAGGCGGCAGACAACAAAGACTTGGTGGGAGCGGCGGACGCTACCGGTGGGGCAGGAGTACCGCAGTGAGGCGGCAGACAACAAAGACTTGGTGGGAGCGGCGGACGCTACCGGTGGGGCAGGAGTACCGCAGTGAGGCGGCAGACAACATAGACTTGGTGGGAGTGGCGGACGCTACCGGTGGGGCAGGAGTACCGCAGTGAGGCGGC